AAGCCGGTTAAAGAATTTTTTTGGACAAGAATTCGAAATAAAGGATCTTGGAAAGCTCCGATACTTTCTTGGGATTGAAGTTGCCAGATCTTCAAAAGGTATCTTTCTATCCCAAAGGAAGTATGTCCTTGATCTTTTAACAGAAGTTGGGTTATTAGGATGTCGTCCCTCTGATACACCTATTGTCATTCCCCGAACCCTCGAGCGCGCGAACATCCTTCCTTGATCGTGAAATTACGACATCCCAGGACGCAACGTCGACCCATCCATTTTCACTTTAGATCATGCAAATGCGGAAGTGTATATCTCCAGACAACAACGGGGATAGACAGGAAAACATACAACATATATATACACATTATCAGTAGTACATCGGGGATTAATATATTACCAATCCGCCACGCCGACCTTCCCGATTACAACAACAACAGATAGGGGGTTAACCTAGCTCCTCTATCTACGAGGACAACCTCAACAGGTATTTCCCCATCGACATAACCGTATCACAAGGAACGCAACGCGTACTCATACCTAAGCACCTGAAAAGATGGTTAACAACAATGAATGAGATAAAATCTCAGTAAGTTAACGACCTAAGCCTTGACTAGGAGGTCAACTCATCTCGGATGCACCTAAAACATGCAGCAATCTATCGATGACAGATCAATACGAAAGCAACCCCTGCTTTGCCCTCACTATTCACACGAGCAGGCTACCAGCCCAACATAAACATACGTGCCATTAAACAATTGCAGACATTCTTACCTTATCTTGGCACACATGCCCTGCACGTTATAAACCATCATATACAATCATAATGCAACAAGCATATAATGTAATCAGAATATGCAACAACTTTCCCATGCACAATGCATCCACACGTGTCCCGATTATAAGGTGAAATCGCTTCGGCCCATCCCGTACCGTGCCTCACAATTTCATCCCATAATCAAGCGCAATTTCACCACAATCTTTCATGCGTATTCCGATTACTACAGCCACACAGGGCACGGCACAACCCGCGTTATTCGCATCAGGTTGGCGGTCTTCCGGCATAACCGGGCATCGTCCCGCCCCGTCGAGCACGGCATCGTCTCACCCTACCACAATGACGACATATCCCATAAATGGGTTCATTCCGAATCCGATTCGCGAATGACTACGTCTCCCCTGCTACCAGCGACGGCTTCCAATTATCAAATTGGGGACACCCGTTAGGGCCACGGTCAAACCCTAGGTTGGCGGTCATCCGGTATAACCGGGCACGAAAGGAACCTTTAGGTGATCATGCACATATAGCAACACTCAGGTTCCATCATTATAATTTTCAATAGCCGATGCAAACATAATCCGTGCTAACTCGTTGAAATATCGCAACTTCCACACGTAAAAATGTACTAAAATATTCACACGTGATTATACACATATCAATAAATTCTCAAACTCGGCATTCTTCTATATTCAAGTATCCACAACATATTTCTCACATAAAACTTAACAAATAAACCCGACACCCCAAGGTTCATTAATTAAATGCCACAATTCTATACTTAACAATAACCAATCAATTCAATTGGCTAAACAAGCCAATTTACAAGGAAATTCCAACTTAGGCATAACAATTCAAGCCTAAAATAATCACAATTTATTTTCAGAAATTCCACAAAAATATTAATAAAATAATAATATTTTTAATTTAATAAAATATTATTATTTATTTCCCGAAAATTAATATAATATTCCAACAGCTTAACAACTAATTCCTAATTAATTAACACTAAACATAATTGACTTAAACTAATCCGTTCTAATCAAGTTTAACCTACTAAGCAAGGGATTAGGGCGATAACTCACTCGTTAGCGAATCCGACGACACGAGCGCGACGGCGGCGGCGAGGGCTATGCATTGCACGGTCCGAAAACGACACGGAACGACGACACACGGCCGGAATAGGGCTGAACAACAGCCACAGAACCGGTTTGGCTTCGGTGAGGCAATTTGGCGACGGAAAACGGCACAGACGGGTTGTGCACGGCGGCGGGGAGTCACGGCGTGGCTGTTGGTTGCTCCACGGCAGCAACATAGCAGCAACACAACAGCAAGGGGGCTGTTCTGTTTGCTCAACCGAAGGAACAACAAAAAAAAAAGAGAAAAGGGAAAGTTGCCGTGGAAGAAGGAAAAGGAGAGAGGGAGGTCCAACGAGAGAAGAGAGAGAGAATGAGAGTTATTGGGAGATTTTATCCACTCCCAAAGTCTTCATCATCATTTCCCCAACATAAATGCCAAACCCCCAAAGTCTTCTTCATCATTTTCTTCTGTTTCTTGATTATAAATGCTAGAAGGGTAAATTAGTAAATTCACCATTGATACTACTCACGGTTACTATTCACGTGGGCTCGGGCTCGGGCCAGCAAACTTGGGCTCGGGCTTGAATGGGCCCAATTGGAAGAGAAATGGGCTTGAAAAGCTTAATGGGCTTTCCTTGGGCTCATTGGGCTTTGGTCTTGGGCGTGAGGCCCATTGGGCTTTTTTCTCGGCCCACTCCCTTGTGGGCTTCCATTCTCGGCCCACTAGTTCCTTTGTCCAAAATTTCGGGGCCCAAAACTATTCCCGAGTTTTACCCCGACTAACTCGGACCGGAAAGTCTCGGAACAATCCTTAATCGAAAACCTATAATCGGATCAAGGCTTGTGGCAAAACTTCAATGGGAAGTGTCCCTAATACGGCCTATTCGAGTTAGGTGGCCTCTTGGGGTGTCGCTAGCGTGACTTATGGTTGATTCGTCAATCAATCCATATTCGACTCTCGTTAATCCATGGATCATTCTCGGTTGTCATGTAATCGTGTGAAATTGACTTATTTACCCGAGGCACGTGATCTGGTGAAATTGACTTAAGATCGTTCGGGTTTAGTATAATGATCATGCGGAATCACCCGCAATATGACTATGTATACTTTCGCCGAATCGATTCCTAACCTTTCACTGCTTGACCCGTGACGTCATAATGTCATCCCGCATCGATCCTTATGGTCGAGCTATTTCCATGGTCGAGTACTCTAGTCGATCGCATTGTCCAACCCTCAATTGCCTTTCCTAATCGAATAGTTGACCCATGAACGATTCGTGAATCGACTCATGGTCTAATCCTGCTATTAGAGCATTGAAAGTTTAAGCCACTTCACTTGTCGAATTAGGTTCCGAATTGAGGATGTCACACCTATTGAGGTCAATACTCGTCTTCGAGAAAAGGATGGTGATCCCGTAGATAAGGGTCGTTATCAACGGTTAGTGGGCAAGTTGATTTATTTATCACACACCAGACCTGATATTGCTTTTGCTGTGAGCCTAGTGAGTCAGTTTATGCATGATCCATACTCTACTCATATGGATGCTGTTCTTCGAATCCTTCGATATTTGAAGTCTGCTCCCGGAAAAGGGATTCTTTTATCTCCTCGTGATGGCTTGAAAGTTGAAGCCTATACAGATGCTGATTGGGCTGAATCTCCTGACCGAAAGTCTATTTCTGGGTATTGTACTTTCTTAGGAGGGAATCTTGTGACGTGGCGTAGCAAAAAGCAGAATGTGATTGCTCGATCTAGTGCTGAAGCAGAATTTCGTGCAATGGCACATGGAATTTGTGAACTGTTATGGCTTAAAGGATTACTTGAAGATCTTAGTGTATCTGTTCCTATTCCTATGATGCTATATTGTGATAATAAAGCTGCCATTAGTATTGCTCACAATCCTATACAGCATGACCGTACAAAACACGTGGAGATTGACAAGCACTTTATCAAAGAGAAGTTGGAGAGTGGTTTAATTTGTATGCCCTTTGTTCAGTCCGGTGATCAACTTGCTGATGTGTTGACTAAAGGATTGGAGAGTAAATCGTTTCATCTTGTTTTAGTCAAGTTGGGCATGTGTGATATCTATGCTCCAACTTGAGGGAGAGTGTTGAGAGTACTTGGCTAATAGGGGCATATTTGTCTATTTCCTTTATTATTTTATATATTGCAGCAATAAGGGTAATATTGTAATTTTGGTCTTTTTGGCTTTATTATAAATAGATAGCTTGAGGTCACATAGACCTAACCAAGCATTTAGTTCAGTTTTTCCTCTCAACAAGATTACCTACCTGGGGAAAGACTTGCTCTTCCTCTCGCAATGCTTACATTAACTACCTTAAACTCATAACAGCATGAAGATTCTCGCATTTTTTTACACTTCCGATGTAAAACCTCACCGAAGCTCTTGAAAAGAAACAAATGCGTTTGTACATGATAACTTCAAAGCCAAGGCATGCAAAAGAATTGGACAATCCTGAACTTGGAGTAATGAATTTCATAAGCCAGTGTTTCGAGAGAAGTAAGAACAATGAGATGCTGCATTTGCAAACTAAGAATCCGATACTGTTGAGATTTACGTGCGAGTTGCATTAGAAGTCACACATTGGAAAATTAGTGCGATGTGGAACGGTTAATATATCCTAGTAAACCCACAACTTATTGGCTAAAGTTTTTGAGTGAACGTGAGTCCAAATGGATATGTCGACGGGCTCAAACTTAAGTTCTCTCTAATAAGCATAAGCTTTTGAATGAAGGCGAGTTAAACTGAATAGATATCGTGCCGTCTGCATAATCTTCAACTGCCTACGGTGTAGGTCCCACGATGGAATCTACATGTCAACTCATTCTGCAAGCTCCCCAAGCCAAACTCTGCGTTTTGTTCATTATCTCATCACTTTTTCATTTGCTATAATCTGCTGCAGAATCTCAATTTAGTACTGCGAATCCTGAATCAAACCTAAAAAATCTCTCATGAGCTCGTTTTGTTGATGCACTGAGATGGATGGATGGCGGCAATGGTGATATATGGCCACGGAATACAGAAAGAAGAACCAAATTTTAGACACATGAGAGATGAATTACAGCAAGAGAGCAATGAATTTTCCCAGCCATTCTTCTCTTATTTTTTCTGTCATTTTTCTTCTAAAATTCGTTTACTCAAAAATGGAAATGGAGATTCCCTGCCCATCTTGTGAACTGAAAATGGGTGGGACTGATAAGAACTTGTACAGGTCAACACGGGGAATGTTCCGGAAAAAATGAACACGATGGTCTACCTCGACCTCCATCGTGGAATAATGGTTTGTCCAATCATTTTTTCTGGTTTCGATTCAATCACTGGGGGCTGTACGGGCGGATGAAAGCGGAGTTCATCTGCCATATCTTGAGCGAGGCCTTAACGTTAGCCTCGGTGGCGTTATTGAACAAGAAGACCCGAGCGGCCCCGTAGATGGCCTTCGTGGGGTAGACGCGGGCAGTGATGCAACTCCTCCCTCCCTGAGCGAAGGTCTCTACGATCGAATGATCCGTCTGTAAGATCGACGAAAGATTGGACAAGTTACTGATAAGTCTAAGGATAAACATGACCGATAACATTATTTTATGTGAAAGAGAATCTGAGCTCTCTCACCAGTATTCTGAGCGACAACTTCTCGCCTTCTAGTACAGGGACAAAGCTCCCACGGACTTGCTTGTTGACATCGGTTGCCTCAGAAGATCTGCCGAGAAAAAAGCGAGTATTCAGCATGATTAATGAAAGCAAGACCGAGACCGGACAAGAATCGAAGTAAAAAACGAGATCGAGAGGGTTACCTCGATTGGTCAGTGCAGATTGAAGTCTTGAGGGTGCCGTTCGGTCCCTTAACGACGTAGAAGTACACGGGGGTCTGCTCGGATAGGTCATCGTCCGCGAGAACCAGGAGGCCAAACGGCCCTAGAGCGCCTCGTTGAGAGGCCCCACCACTGGCGCCGCAACTGTAATCAGCATCGGCCTCGGGTGTCGCCTCTAGGGCCTGTTTGTCCAGCTCAAATTCAGCCACGATGTCCATCTGAAAATCAATATTATTGTTAGTTATCCGGGAGTCCTTACTTCACCGAATATTTACAGCTACAGATGAAAACTCGAAGGCACGGACCTGGGTGGCAGTTCCGACATCTAGAGGTACCACCGTCCCGGTTTTGACCTCTATGCCGTCGAATTCTTTGCTGCTTAATCTCAAGCTCTCCACTTCCTCCACCGGCCACTGAAGCAGGTTGCTTCCGGTCTTTGTGTCGAGAACGACGGTCCTTGGAATTCCCTGAGAAATACGAATGCAGTTCATCGCGCTCGGCCTCGTACGAGGATTTGAGATCACTAAACTAACACATGATATGTCATAACAAATTCAAATCATATTCAAATGCAAGTGAAAACATTGAACAGACCTGGAGTGAAGCCCATCCTTTCTGCACATCGGCAACCTCGCTGTCCGACTCTGTGATCCAACCCCACAAGATCCGCCTCCTCTTGTTCTGGTCGTAGAACGTCTTCGAGGCGTAGAATATACCGTAGTCATACCTAATCCCGATCCCCACATCAATCTCGGGGTCGTCCGGGACCCAAGTGTTGGCCTTCTCGTTGTAAGTCCCGATCGCATAGTAATCGTGCCTGTCGTCGTCGAGGCTAACCTTCATCACGTGCTTCACTCCCGGACCATTCTCCGACGTGTCCAACCCGTTTTCCGAGATGGGGTACAAGTCCACGCATTCCCACATGCCGGTCCCGGGGACGGCATGGAGCAGGCCTGGCAAGAGCTCGTAGTTCTTGAAGTCCTCGGTCTCGTACACGAGCGTCATTCCGGTCTTGTTGACCTTGGCCCCGATTGCAAAGCGCCATTTGCCTCCCGACGTGTACCAAGCGGTCGTCGGGTCACGGAAGTCCAACTTGTTGATGCACGGCGGAGGGGCTAGGATAGGGTTACCGGGGTACTTGACCCAGTCCACGAGGAGCGGGTCGGAGAGGTTGGCGGGGTAGGCGAGGTTCTGGAGCTGCACCGACTCGTTGGACGAGCCGGTATAGAGCATGATGACTTGGCCATCGGGGAGGATCGTGGCGGAGCCGCTCCACACGCCGTTGATGTCGTACCACTGGTCGGCCACCATCGCGAGGGGGAGGTGGAGCCAGTGGATCAGGTCCTCCGACACGGCGTGGCCCCACACGATGTTGCCCCAGACGGCACCGTCCGGGTTGTACTGGTAGAAGAAGTGGTACCATCCTTTGTAATACATGGGACCTAGCATGATATTCACATGTTAATGTTGAGAGAGTCGGCAACATCTATCGAAGTCACCCGTTCAATGAAAAAGCAGATTTGGCTCATCCCGCAGCGACCCGGGCAGGCATGAAGTTGAAGTACGTCATGTTTTAGCATGTTGAAGCACAGTACATTGTTTAGAAGCAAGTTCCATACGAACTCATAATTCGAATTTGACAAGAGAATACGAATAGTCAGTCCTATTATTGATTGTTTCAATCAAAATTCTCGTTGTGTACCTACGAGTTTAGTGTAATCATCGGAAAATAAGATTTTGCTAACATAACAGTCCGCAATGAAATTGTAAGCCTCAAATTCTTGAAAGTCTAGACCCCACAATAATTTCTAATTATTTGTTATTTGCTTTCTTTCCTCAAATCAGACCGTTAATCACACACAAGATTGAGGACAACAATCACAAAAGCGTTTCTCGCAATAAAAAAATGCAATATTAAAATTTTGAAAAACAAAAGAGAAAGAAGTAGAACAATCTTACCGTTGGGATCTATGGGAGACGATGAAACCAGTTCCCATGCCAGAGCAAGAACAGAGCCATGAAAAAGAAGGAGAAAAATAAACACAAATCAGTCGAATAGAAATCCCTAGCTGTAAGCATCAATGAAGTCAAAATCATTTTTTTTTTCAATAAATAAATTTAAGACTAAGATCGTGCCAATAAGCAACCTCCATACATTCTCATCTTTTTCATCCCACAAGATTCGCAAATATGAAATTTCAGCCTAAGTTAAAATTACATTTTTCCGGTGCGCTATGCGCTCGTTGACCAAAATCTTGATAGAAAAACCTCAAATGAACTTTCAAGGTACCCAGAAAAAGATTTGACTAGAAGAATCCTCAGAAAAATTTGAATACCATTCTAGCACATAATGTAAAATTCCAGGAAGATGGCAAAGACTTTCTCAAAGAAATGAAACGCCATAGATTGACAAGAAAAAGGAAAAGGAGAAAAAGAAGAGGTCACCATTCATCCAATTCTTCTCGGGCTGAAAATGGAATGCCGTTCTCTGCCACGACAACATGCTGTTGTTCCACGGGAAACCCCGCACGTTGACGCCGGCGAAGATCCAGTTCGACTTCGCGGACACTCCTTCCTTCACGCCGCGAGGCGCCGTCCCGACCGTCGTCTCGGCCGGTATCGGCCTCGGCCCCGCCGCGCCTCCTGCGCAGGTCGTCCACCACCGGCCATCATCAACTTGTGCACAGACGTCTGACCTCGTATCGGTCGAGAAACCAATCATCATTCCCGCGACTAACAACAGGGAAAGCCCTGCCAAAATCGCCACCTTGGCCGGTGCCCGGCGGCCTTTCGGCTCCTCCGCCCCGCTGGGGAGAGGGGCGTACGCGGGGTCTTCCTGATCAACGTTAGACCGATATGGGTAGGGCTCCGCCATTGGCAATGGTTTCGAATTGGAAAAGTTTTCTAGGATGTCTTAAATAGACAAAATGCAGAGGAGAGAAAGAGGATGCTAGCTGTTCAATGGAAGAAAATAGAAGAGATGGTGACTACGACATAGAAAAATTCAGAGATGCTGAATTTGGAAAAGGGTATCGACCCTATCCAAGGCAATGAGATTAATGATCTGGACGTGAAGATAGAGATGAGCTCTCAATGTTGGAGCGATTACCATATATATAGAGGCACACGTACCATTGTAATCAAGGGTTTAGTATGGAGATTGTTTATTATTTTGTTTGGAACGTATAAAAGTCGTCTATTGGAATCATCGGTCTTACATTATGTTTTTGGATTGCCAATGAAACAGTAACGTCCAGAATCATCGTCGTCTTATCGCTGAGATCTCGAGTCAAGAAAATTTCATTTCCATGTGTGCGACGAAGATTGACAAAATCCGAAGCATGTGCTTGATAATGTGGGTGGATATAAATAAGGTATCTGCATCAAATAGGGCAACTTTGTCCCCAGTTGGTGATTTGTGATCTCTCGTTTATCATGTTAGGTGTCTGCCTAATTGAGGGCGGTCAATAAGAAAACCAGGAAAGAAACAAGGAAGATGCATGTTCATTCATCTTTCCTTGTATTTTCGCAAACTTTCGAGATCGAACCCAAGTTTGAAATCTGTCGAACCTTTTCGTATCTTAATGTATCTCAATCTCGGGACCTCGATGAATATCTCTGAGCTCTTATTTTCGAAAGATTTAGGGGACACGCATGACATGAAATTTGTTCATTCGACGATCGGTGTGGCGTCAAAGCTCGAGATCCTCCTATTAAGAGGGGAAATTCTAAATTGTGACTAGGGTCGTTACTTTGGTCGGTCGATTGATTCTTCACAAACATTCGCTAGGGGGAAAACTCGAAGAAAACGTGAAAACAATGGACTAGTATGAACCACACGTCCAAGAAAACGTGAAGAAGGAAAGTCCATTCAAATTAAACTAAAGAAGGTAAAAGCCTACACACGTCAAGGAAACCAACTTGAAAATTATTATTTTTCCCTATTCTCACGTTGGCTGATCGATTTGGGGAAATGATGATGATTCAATGGTCCAAAACGAGGGCCATTCGAGAGCAAAAAGAGAAGATGGACACGTAAATTCAAACTTGGGGTTTCTATCATCACATTGGAGAGCTCGACCTTGGCAAAACATTTCCCACAAGTAAAAAACAAGCAATGAGTAGCTGCTGATTCATATCCGAAAGGGGTGATTCCTCCCTTCTTTATCAGCTTCAAGTTCATAATTCCATTATTTTAATGAATCTATGTAACATCAACATATTCAAACCCAGAAAATGAAGTAGGAGATTGGCGAACCGTCCACATGAACATAGAACTTAATAGACATGTTATATTGGCTATCGTACAATAGATTTAAGATTAAATTGGTACACAATTAAAAGATTTAGGACTGAATTGACCGCCGTACAATAGATTTGGGACATTTTGGACAATTATCCCTAATTCAAACTTACGATTTCTATCATCACCTCGACCTGGCAAAACATGTCCCGCAAGTAAAATCAAGAAAGCAATGAGCAGCTGCGATTCGGATCCCAGAGTGGTGGCTCCCCTCCATCATCAGCTTCAAGTTCATAATTCCATTATTTCAATGAATCCATGTAACATCAACATATGCAAACCCAGAAAATGAAGTAGGAGATTGGCGAACCGTCCACATGAACATAGAACTTGATAGACATGCTATATTGGCTGTTGTGCAATAGATTTAAGATTAAATTTGCATAATCGAAAGATTCAGGATTGAATTGGCACAAGTAAAATCAAGAAAGCAATGACTGGTGAACTAGTTAACATTATGTAATGATCATGCATAACACACCAAGGTGACCGCCACAAAACACTATAGATTAAAAACATAAAAATTAATAAAATCAAAAAGCAATGAGCAGCTGCTGATTCGGATCCGAGAGTGGTGGCTCCCCCTCCATCATCAGCTTCAAGTTCATAATTCCATTATTTTAACGAATCTATGTAACATGAACATATGCAAACCCAGAAAATGATGTGGGAGATTGGCAAACCGTCCCACATGGACAAGGCCCCCCATTGGCGACAGGACGTGGATGACTAGGCGCTGACACATCATTTCAAAGTTTCGCCCCGTTGATAATGTGTGGGGACACGTGGGCGAAGTCTTGGTCAGCATATCTATTCATGAGGAAAACAACAAAGCAATGACTACAAAAGAGACAACCCGTACCAAATCAGCTTCTTTGCGTTGTCTTTTGGATTCTTCCCAATAATGTGGTCAATTATGGGAGTCCCCCCCCTCTTTGATTGGGGTCGGTCCTGCATTATTCACATGGTATGATTGGTAAGCCACGTGGTGGCTTCCCCAGCACCATACGCTTTCGCCACGTAAGGAAGAAATTTTCTGGGGTCGGCGAAGAACCCGGAAATAATAGAGAGTGGGGGAGAGGGATCGACGGGTTGGCATCAAATCAGAGGTGAAAAATGGGTCAATGGAGGGTTTGGATCTTATGAATGACGTGGTGAATTATGGGAGTGTCCCACCCCTCTTTGATTGAATCCCAATAATGTGGTGACTTATGGGAGTCCCCCCACTCTTTGATTGGATCTTATGAATGATTGGGATTAGGATGGGTTCAATGAAGGTGCAAGAGAAAATTACTGAAAAGTTCTAAATTTATCGCACTTGTGTCAATCTAGTATTAAATCTTTTAGATCCCGGCAAGCTCGAATCTCGTCCGAGATCGGTAAGGTCGGCCCTTGCCTATGGTCGGTCGCCGGCCGTCGCCGAGGCCCGGCAACCGGCAAAGGAAGAAGGAAAATTAAAGAGAAAGAAAAATATTTAAAAATTGTATAAATAGTCAACGTCAACACCCGTCCTATCCACACAGGGTGACTGGTGTCCACGTCAGCAATTTCCCATCAAAATTGGTTCGAATGACTAAATTGAAAAATTATCGAAAGGTTTAGAACTCAATTGGCACGATTAAAAAGTTTATAACCGAAACGACATGAATACAATAAGTTTAAAACTTTTTCAGTAATTTCACCGTCAGGACAATTTGATAATGATTTGTCTGAGGTGGCACCACCAACTCGATGCAGAGGTTCGATGTGATCTTGTCGGGAGGTGATGGAATTTGTGACTTTAGTGCGCTCCGAATTTAGGCGTTCGATCATTGACATGTAAAGAGGGGGAACAAAAGAGGACGAATCAGACGTTCTCTTTGGCCCAAAAACAATAATCAGATTCAAAGTCCCCACAATAATCACTTTTGAGAGATGGTGTTATCTACTCAACAAGGATACAAAGTATGAGTCGCACCGTTTTCTAACATGTCATTTTCTCGACAAAATAAAAAATAATGGGCGTGTACTAAGTTTAAGAATTGATAAGTTTGAAAAATTTAGTAAGTTATGTAAATGAAAATTTGTAAGTTAGTATGAAAATTATTGATTTGCAAATTATAAAAAATGAAAATTGGTGAGGCACCAATCGTTTTCCTTTTATTAATCAATTATTATGGGAAACCAAATCCGTTTGATTGGATAGCGAATAATAGAATTTTCACGAGTCAAAAAGATTCAACAAGTTCCCTCCATCCAAGATGTATTGAGTTCATGTTTGCCGCCTTCCATCACTTTTAGAAAAATGTGATGCGCATTCGATTTGCGGTTATGTCCCAAAAGAAGATTGAGATATCGATCCTCCACATTCCACATATAATCATAAATTTTTTGCGTTTATGCATATTTGATGAGCTTGAACGGCGTTTGGCAAGCGGGGGAGGCGGCCTCGTCCATGCCTATCTTTGCCTCACCCACATCTAGGCGAGGTCGGGCAAGGGCCGCGACGCTTACCGGCAGCCATAAAGGGCTTCATGGCCCTTGTCCAATGGCCAGCGAGCTCCAGCTACCCTCGGCTACTAGAGACGAAAAAAAAATAAATAATTAAAAATTTCAAAAAAATAAAATAAAAATGTATATTATTAAAATATTCCATATTAGCGCCGGCCGGCAACGTTCAACGCCGGCCGGCAACGTTCAACGTAAGTAATTTCATACCTAAATTGGCCCAATTAAAAAGTTTATAATTGCAATAGGTTTATTGAATTGGCACCACAGGGGTTTTACAATTTCAAGCACGAGGGCAATGATCGTCGTATACGAAGAAACTCTGAACAGCTAATTCGGAACAAACTACGATCCATCAAGCTTTGCAACAAGTTGTGGGTCTAGCTTTTCCTTGGGAAATTTCATCTGCATGATTTCCACACCCAGGTCAGTATAGTCGACCAGGCTCAATTGAAGCTAACAGCTAAGAAATCAACAGGCCACGGATTATAGAGGAGAAGATGGAAGACCTCTAATACAGCAGAAGACAGATTCTCCTGACATGTTCAGGCAAAATCTTTTCCCAGAATACCATGTGCTTACTTATTTCTTTTTGCTAGGTGTGCTTCACCAGAAATAATAGAGCAGCTAAGGCAAATCTCATTAGCATCCCAAAAGCACGTGACAATGTGAGAGCAGAGTCATGCTTCACAAGCATTGAAAATAAGCTGGCTTTGGCGAAGAAGCTTTCGGAATCAGAAATACACGATAAAAACCTTGAACACCAAGGTTACACTCTGTTTGGTGACGACTCAAGTTCGGTTCTCACATTAGAGTAAGGAGAAAATAGTCGATAGCCGTAAAACTTATTAACATCAGGCGAGGGATGACCTTTACATTCTTTTCCGCCAGAGCCGATCTGAGTATCCGAGGGAAAAGTCGAGTGTGAAAAACAGTTGGAATCCAGAATTATTCTCTTCGTAAATAAGAACCGCTTAGCGATTCCAGACGGTGAATCATACATTTGGGGGTGGCCAGATCTTGCCGAAAAGCTCCTCCACTCGCTTGGCCTGATTGACGTACCCATCCAATCCAGCTGCAAGTAGATCCACAGAAGCTGGTCCCATAGCTGAGGCAAGACTCAGTTGGTCCCACTTACGAAGCTGAACAGAATATATAACATTGGAATCAAGTCAGTGATATTGTAGACCGGAGAGAGAGAGTAGTTTATCACAATGATGAAATGCATCTGATAGTCATCTTTCTTACAACATGTAATCGTCCATGTGGAAGTAGCATCACAGGCTTCTTAATCGTTATGAAAAAAATGTAATTAAGTGCACCTATAACTTTTTTAAGTTTTGCTAGGAAGAGCAATCAACAAGCTCTCTCTCTCTCTCTCTCTCTCTCTCTCTCTCTTGGTCTCCATGTGCATGTGCATGCACACACGAAAAAACTGATTAAACAATTTTTCCATTTCTGATTCTTCTTCATTTTCTTATTTTTTTTAGTTTGTTGTTGTTCATGGGCCCGTCGCACGCCACCCGCCGGCAACCAGCCACAGCCACCGGCTACGGCCTCAGCCACCGGTCGCAGCCCATCGAGGGCAGCTCGCGGCCGCGACGACGAGGCCTCACCCGGCCAAGGCGAGGCCGACCTCGCCGTCGCAACCAGCGAGGGCGGCTGCGAGGGCCGCAACACCCTCACCGGCCTTGGCCAAGGAAAAGAAGGGAAAGAAAGAAAAAAGAAAAAAAAAGAAAGAAATATTAAAAATTCAAAATATTATTAATAAAATGAAATTTTGTGTAGTTACAAACGCATTTCTCTTCTTTTTCTCTATTCTAAGAATATAAATTTTGGGCGTTACTCAAACGCCTTCAAATTCTTAGAAATTGTTTTCGAGAACAAAATAAAAAGAATCATTTCGACTGAAACGTGCTTCGAGCACAAAATGGTTGCCATGCGTAGCCTTAATCGTTATGAAAAAAATGTAATTAAGTGCACCTATAACTTTTTTAAGTTTTGCTAGGAAGAGCAATCGACAAGCTCTCTCTCTCTCTCTCTCTCTCTCTCTCTCTCTCTCTCTCTCTCCATGTGCATTTGCATGTATGCACGAGTGTGCATGAGTGTGTACGTGCATGGCCTGCACTATGCACTTTTGATCTAAGAACAGAGATGTACTAAGCGTGATGCACCCAAAGCAACTAACAAAAACTCCACTGTGCTTCACAGTGGATGTCTATTTTCATTCCAACAGGTTGCAAGCTACAGCAACATTGGTCGCTCATTGGATCATTTGGCTCCGAAGTGGAGTTCACATGATCTAACGGCTATGCTTAAAATCAAGTGGGCTCACACAGACTAGATGCAAGCAAGAACCTTTCACGGGGGAAATAAATATGTAAAATTGAAGCGCACCTCTTCTTCAGAGAAATTGTAGGTAGCAGCAGACTCTGGTGACAGCCTCCTAACAAAAGAGTATTTCTCATCTGGAGCAGTGATTGATTCTTTGAGAGACTGCAAGACCTTCAATGGTGCGATAATATAGTCCACCCTGTAGAGGAAGAACAGAAAGACATGATCAGAGAATGATATTCCTTGATTGAAACTGATTAGAAACCCCGATTCTGTTCGGAAGATTAGCATAAGAGAAACATAATGCCACAAACGTCATGGAGAGAGAGAGAGAGAGAGTACCCTAGAAGACTGAACAAATCCTGCTTGTTTCGAACTGCTGCTGCCATCAATTTGGATTTATGCCCATATTTGTGGATGTAGTTATAAGCCTTTGTCGCCTGCATGAAGAACATAACTAGATCAGGCATGACCAGTTATTCCACAGCAATATTGTGAATAGAACTCTCTTCTCACGTTACTGATGCAGTGGAGTACCCTCGTGTCAAATGAACTTAATCCGGCATTCCAACTAGATGTTTCTCTCTCTTAATAGTAGTCCAACAAGGTATCCAAACAAGAGAAGTAAATTACCAGTATGAGCCTAGGACTTCTATAGAGGAGCTCAGGCATGCCCTACTGCCAAGGCATCATCGAATAGCACTAGATTGCTACACAATAAACCATTGATGCTAATTGATCACCTTGTCTCCTACAAGCTGTGCCTTGTGAGTTAACATCCTTTTCAAATAGATCAAAGACAAGGACAGAGGTCTGTGGACCGAGGAAGGCAATGACCATTACGAAACACAACTATTGTGGCTTTAGATTGAGCATAATAGTCAGATGGCTTAAAGTGGCAGGACCCTAATTAACATAGCAAAGGATACGCAACAAGTAGTCATGTTGATTCCAGTTTGCATGTAGCCCCTCAAACCACCTCGACATTCCCCTTGGCACATGCCAATTGCATGTGTATAAGAAACTTTACCGAAACTGCACCTAAGGAAATAGCCAACATGAAGCGGATTGCTCCTATGATCTCTGGCTAACATGAATTCCATAGATCCAAGAGATCACAAAAAGATCGAAAGGTAAAGAACCATTCATTTCCTAGTAGCCAACTAAGAAACTGAAGAAAAAGTTATATCACTATTGAGCAAGAGTTGAACCCTGAAACCTTCTAAAAGCCAACAAGTTTGTAAAAACACACAAAGCTATCATGAATCTCAACAAGAGAATTTCCATGAACAGTGAGTTTGGGTGGGCATGGGTAACTGAAGAAAACCGGTTGTAGAATAGAAATTCAATCACAAATGAGTCTAGGACTGCTATTTATTTTACCGAAAATAAAAGCTTTGTAACTAACCAGAGCCAACCCTGGATCTTCACCTCTTCTCAAAGCAGCATCCACTTCTGGGTCACCAGAGTGATTGCGTGCCCAATCCTGAGGATGATGCAAGAATGGAATGTCACAAATAACACACAAAATCATAATAGGAAAAAGCCAAAGGGCTAAGCTGTTACCCTAACACGACCAACAAAAATCTGAATGACAGAAGCACCGGCTTGTGCGGCAGCTGCTGCTTGAGCAAAGCTTTAGACAAATGAACAGATAATCAATGGCTAGTACATTGAAACAGCTTAAGGAAAGAGAGAGAAAGGAGGAAACTAGAAAAAAAATCATGATCTGCGATCAAAGCAGCAAGAATAGAATAGCGTTGAAACTTCCGAACACAAAATGACAAAATCTAACTATTATCAAGCTGGATCGCAAGCCCTAGTCCACCAATACTGCTTACAATTCTCTAGACAGATTATCCATGGAGAGCCATGCCAGTCGACAAACATTGACAAACTAGCAGGACACTTCATGTTAATCATACCGAAGATGACTTCCAATTTCTAAAACTATGTCAAATATGATGGTATGTCTAATGAAGTCTCTGGGCAAGCCATTGGAAAATCAATAGTTGTATCTTTCACCTAAAGAAAAAAATCGCCATTATAAGCACAGGGATTCAAGATATTTCAGAGTCCATGTACACTATCCCCACCAATATGTTCTCCTGACATTAGAGGCAGTGCAAACGAACCACACATTTCCCCACAGACTTGGTCACTGAAACCAATGCCGAGCAAGGAAACAAGTATTACATGGCGATGATTCAGATTTGAGAGTTAAATGAATACTTGCAATCACACTCAAAAAGCTAGAATAGAATTATGTCGTGTCGAGAGTGGTTAATCTTGTCAATCACACTCAAGTAGCTACAAGAATTCATCCGTGTGCTTCCAAGATTTTTCTTACGCATTAGATAATTAGTCAGGCCATTAATTATCCAAATATTGCGATATTATTACTCTTTCAAGTCAACATTCAAACAGGCTATTAACCCTGATTAGCATTGGGCCCTGGCTCACCCAAGCCTGCAGCCCAAAATTTTAAAGGCAAGTGGGTACGGCCCATGGCTCTCTTTTAGAGTCCGACCAGCCTCTAATATGTGAAAACTATCTCTTTAATTATTTTTATGTCATTGGTCATTAAGTACCGACTATTTAGGCCCAATGCGCAGCTGAACTGAATAGCCGGTCCACTATGCTTTTACAGAGGTCTGGTGCAGCCGGTTCAAAAATGAGGACTCTAGATAATAGACATCAAAATAGCTTGACAGCGTAAGTAGATAAATTGAAGTAACAAAAAAGCCCTTTCCAAAAATACCTGTAAACAAAAGTCAAATGTGTCTGTATGCCCTCAGATTCAAGCAGTCTTGAGGCCTCTATCCCCTACATAAACACCCAGAAATGGCCCACAGAAGGGCCAGATAAGTATAAGCTAACTTTAAAAAGTACCACCAGTTCCAACTAAGGCACACACTGGCCACTTACTTGCCATGTGGAAGGAATTTTAAACAACAAACGCTCAGGAGGGACGTTTACTTCACCATACAGCTTTAGTAAGTCATGCACCTGCAATGAGTAAAATGCAGCTAGCATCGGATTGGACACCCAAGTTCCAAATTTTACGGCTAAGCGCTGCCCAAGGCAACTGACTACTCTCACATTGCAGATCAAAATCGTCAAGTAAATTTTAACAATCTTTTCTTTACGAGCATACAATAAATTCAACAATAACCATTTATGTGATAAAGTGGAATCAGCCTCATCTCCAACATCACACTCTCTAATCTATATTCCATCGCAACACATTGCAGCAAGATCAACTGTATGAGCCAAAATCGGAGTAACATCAACCATTAAGTCCAAATACACATAAAACACTGCATTTGGAGAGGAAGCTCAATTTTTTACTACCTTGGATTTAAAAAACTCTTATATATGAGATAATTGCAAGACCGTCGTTCGTTTACATAGCTTAGTACGGATTTTTTAATTTATCGATTTTTCTACAGGGCTTCTGCCATCAGTAACCTAATATGGACAGCTAGTCCTAGTAACATGTTGAGCGTAGCTCTTTGGCTATCAGGATGTTAAAGGCTTATTGATTAAGGAGTACGAAAGAAGCCTATACCTTCCGAATAATTCCATGAGTGTCATAAGCCAGACGAGCATCCACTTCTGTTGAAACTCTACCAGGAACAAGCTTTGCCAAATCACCTCCAACATTGACCAAAGCCTACATTGAGAAATCTCATATCAACCACCCAGCCAAAGGAAAAAAAGGCAAATTTACATGTGATCCGGCATGTCGCGTATAAATATTTGATAAAAGCAAATCATTTTGTTTCCTTTTCTGTTTTGGACGAGAAAGTCGATGAATATTTTCCTTTTCATGCTTTCTTTTCCTCAGTACTTACGTGATTCTGCAGCTCAGGGGCAAACAACTAATGTCAGTAAGGTAAACTTTATACTCTTTCCTTGCGCTCTTCATTCAATTTCCATACAAAAACAAGGGTGAAGTAATATAACTTTCCCCCTCATTCTTTTTGCTTTCCAACTGAACTTTCCTGTTGTGTAACACACATCATGAATTGAAACCTGCAAGGTACAGTGGGGGAAAACACACCAACCTTGTTGACAAAACAGGACAACCTCATCTCATTGTTCGCCAACCCATAGCAGCCTCTATCAGCCAAGGCCATTTCGACCGCATTCTAAGCACAAGAATGCTTTCCAATCAGCGAACCGAGCGGACTTTTCCGACTAGAGTCCGAAATTTTCCCCCTAAATGGAAAAAGAAAAGATTGATACCCTGAAAATAGTATCCGGAAGACTGCATATTCCCAGGAGGAGCGAGGAGCTAACGGTCCCGGCGGTGGGAGGGAACCTGAAATCGGAGAGAGATTGTGAATCATCGTTCGCGATGAAGCTCGAGACTTTCCGACGCGAAAAGCGAAACGGAATCCACCGTCACGTATCGTAACAATGCCGGTGCAGGAAAAACAGATAAACCGTAATCATCTATCTATAGCCGCATCCACCATTTTCAAATCGCTTACTTCTCGAAGTCATCGAAGATGACGGTATCAGGGACGATCTCGCTGAAGCTGGACACCGCATCCAATTCAGTGCTCAAACCTTCACACAAAAGAAAAGCAAAAAAAAAAAAAAAAAGCGAAGGAAATGAACGAAGATCGATCATCGAACACAGATGTCAATCAGCTGAAAAGCGGATCGGGAAAGAACTACAGGTACCGAGAGAGGAGGAGGAGGAGTTGGAGGAGGCTCGAACCGGAGGCAGCGGCGGCCGGCGGTGGAGCGCGAGCTTCGACGCCGCGGATCGGCCGAGCAGCCTCAGCTTCCCGTCCTGCACACATCGATCGAAGCGACCACCGAATCAACGCCATTGACTTCCATGGAGCGTAATCACATGCGAATGCACAGAGAGAGAGAGGGGTTACGTGAAGAGAGGAAGCGGAGGAGGAAGAGAGAGTGGAAGAAGGTGGAGATTGCAAGGAGAGTGACATCTTCCTTCAGCTACTGGAGGAGGTGCGAGGAGGAGGCAAGCTTTGTGAGTAATGTGCTCAAGGACTGCAAGATGTACGTTTTATCTACGTCGTCTGGATAAATGTCATTCAAAGTGCTTAGACTTTATCACGAATTTAATTGAGTCCTAAAATTTTCAAAAAATATAATAAAATTCTCAAATTTATTAAATTTATATAATTAAATTCTAAAACTTATCAGACGGAATTAATAAAAAAAATTGATTGCATCATATTGACAAGTTTAAGGATTTTGATTAAACCTTTTGAAAATTTTAGGATTTAATTACACTTTCGTAATAAATTTTAAGACTTTTAATACATTTATCTTTTTTTTATTTTAGAAAGTAAGTAAGGAATTTGATTTTCCTTTTCTTTTTTCCTCCAATTATTGGTTTTACCATTTAATTTTCGTTTCAGGTTTTTTTGGATTTTTATCATGATCGTTGAAAATAGAAAAAGATAATAATAACAATAATAATAATAATAATAATAATAATAATAACAATAATAATTTGGGGATTGCTTAACGATGGTCCACCGAATAACAAATGTTTGCCAATGTGTGGGTCACTCAAAAGACGACGTCGACTCCTTTGGACTCCACCCTCGCAACTCAAAGTCATCGAACGAATGCACTAGGCATAGTGAATGGCAATGAGGCCAGTTTCGGACGGCCGATTCGCTCGCATCCAATGTTCGAACTCCAAAATGAGTCCCAAATATTAACTCGAGTTTCATCACGACATTAAGATGGAGGGTTTAGATGGAGTCACCAAATTGTCCGTTGCGGGAGCGTGAATCTCCATGAAACTGACTCAATATGTATTCATCAAAATGAATCAAACGATAGATATATATGAACTGAAGTAAATGACATAATGGTATTTCGGTGACGTGATTAGTCGTAATCAGATTTAGGATGCCAGGGAAATTCAAATTGTTAACCCAATTAGTTCACACACCCCTATCGGGGTATGCGCACCTTCCCTAGAATCTCTTTACCAAAGCAATAGTTGGGTTCATTACGAGGTTCATAAAATAATTTTATGAGGGGGTCTTGATATCAGATCATAATGGATATTATATTTGTGGCGGGGTCATGCTGTGAAGTGAATCATGAACGACAACTTGGTCGATGAAATCGAGGAAAGACATGTCCGGCCGAAGCGTCGGATAAGAAAAAAGCCCCCCCTCGCGTCCTCCGCCCCACGTTCACGTGCGAGTCCAAAACGCATGAAAAACACAATGGGCCTTCAACGACCTCAGCCCATGGTCTGGATGATGACAATGCCCGCCTTCCAAACCAGAAGAACCAAGCCAACGTTTCCTAACACCACCGGTACTACACTCCGGGATGTGTTGCTATGGCTCTCTGATAGGATGCTGCTGAGTGATGCCGGTTTGTTCAAAATGCCCGCTTGCAATCTACCGCATCGCTTACCGCATTGGCTTTTTATGCCGGAAGTAGCTGGGGAAATTCATCCTCATCGTCATCGTTTTCCCCCGAAAGTCACTTGAAAAGAACGGCTTTTCTTTCCAGAATTGTTCCATTTCACTATCTTCTGTTTGCTTTTTTTACACAAATCACAGAACTCAGCAGAGAGACTCAAACGAACAAGACTGACCGACACCGTTTCAAAGACGGGAAGGAATACACAGTTATAAACTGAAAAACCGCCACCATCCATCCACATGCGATTCCCTCTGCAATTGTCTGTATCAATAATTAGTAATGACTGGACTGCGAAATGAACCAACCCTTATTTAGCACATTCACATCCCATCTGCTCGGCAAATATAAACGCGTGCGGAGCTGATGGAAGGACCTTCGGACGAAAAAAAAAGAATAAGACCTGGTTGCCCGGAAAAGAACATATCGAAAGCGAAATGCCTCCTTTTATTGTAAGCAGGAAGAAGAACAACACGAGAGCCTTGATCTAATCTGCTTTCTGCAATGAACTTTGTTGAGGTGCATTCGATTCCCAATCATTCCCCGCTTCTTCGGTCTTCTTCCAATTGCCCAGGGACTCCAAAAAATCCATGACCTGAATTTTCCCAAAAGAAAGAATCCCTCGAAATTAGACTAATGCTGGAAAAGATGCGAAATTCGGTGAAAAGAAACTTCACTGATAACTCTCATAAATGCACCTCTGATGGATCCTTGAGCGAGTAAACAGCACTAGTTTCTTTAGGTGTTGAAGATACTAGTATACCAAAACCACAATTTCCTTCTCGCAGCACCTAACAAAATGAATATCGGGCTGAGATCAGGATCTAAGAACTGTCCATGTCCAGATTGGGAGAGGATGAGGATTGTCTTTTTGTTACCTTAAATGCATCTTCATCTGTCTTGTCGTCCCCAATATAGATCGGAAGCACATCTTCACAGTCACTCAGCCCTGTGACAACAGAGTAGTGATTTAGATGAGGCCGAATGCTTGCACAAAAACCACGAAAAGAGAAATGCGACACAAGGGCAAAATGGCTCAGTACCAAGAGAATCAAGCAAAAACTCCACTGCCTTTCCCTTGTTCCAGTCGATCACTGGACGGACCTCTAAAACCTGAAATAAGTGACATGACCATCAAGAGGCAGAGTCATAATAGTGGAAAACAAATGTTAAAAGGGAAAAGGAAAAGAAATGAGCCTCCTAAGGTCCACCAATAGTACCTTCCGTCCATGTGTTAACCGCAAACGAGGATACTCTTTCAAAATATCATGAACACACTGAGCAATAACTGGCCAATTCTGAAGTCAAGTTAAAGAGAAAGAGATACAATCAATATGCATCCAGCCAAACTTATATAGACAATGTGAAGTCCAAAACATTCCCCGACCTTTTCATCTACATTACGATAATGTACAGAGGCACAAAACTTGTGATTCTCAACTTTTGCGCCTTTGATACCCTTTGTATTTTCGACGAGGGTTCTAAAAACCTGCATTAACACATTATAGGTCATCCGATCAGAAAGAAAAGAAACTACTATTAGAAACAAAATATCTACAGGCGGAACAATTCCTGTACCTCATCAATCACGGGTAAAAATTCTCTAGCAGGCTGGAAGAGATTTACCTCCTTGCCCTGCCATGGCAAGCATCCACATTAGTTACATCATGGAATTGAAGACTTGCTAGGGAAAGCAAATTGAAAGAACATATGGTTTCGCTACCTAAGCATAGCACCGGGAGAGAACAACAATAAAGCTCTCCAAAAGAAACACCTTACCTGTTGGTCAGTTGATTTAACACAGCTTGGGTGGTCATTGGACACACTGTTGTTGACAGGGCCCATAATGTCCATTCCATGACTACCAGCATAGTAAAGTTCAGTTAGTTCTACCAAATTGTAAACCTGTAAAATTACGGCAAGTCAGACCTCAATTTTATAAGTGTGGATCAGCGGATGTACCAAAAAGAAACATCACGTTGTGTTCAAAGGAAGGTTCTTGATTACCTTGTCACGACTCCTTCCACTGATAATTGCGGTAGGAAAGTGATCCGCGACACTCTTTACAGCTTTACGCATCTGAAAAGCAATTTATATGGTTCGACATAAGTAAATGTGCAAGACGGGCATTTGCAGAGGCAAATATGTTGTCTACTTACATCATCAGACATTAGTGCCCAATCTGGGTCATCAACGATTGGAGACAGAACACCGTCATAGTCCAGAAACATCGCTACCGTCTTGTTCTTAGCCTGCCCAACTATTTGCTCAAAAGAACTGAGAGCTGAAGGATGCTTAAGCTGCATGATCACCGAAAAGAAGCAATCAGGAAATAAAAAGGCAGATAAGGAAAGAAATCACAATTCATGATAGAAAATACAAGCATATAAATGAAGCTGTACCGCTTAATAGGTTTCTCTATCCATATATGAGACAAGAAGAATAAAAATCTCGACTAGACACTTGAGAAAGAAAACACACCATCCAGGATGCATAAGCAGCATCAGAGTCATCTACGGCAACTTCAAGAACGAAATCCTTGACAAGCTTTTTGCGAGGGGGAGAGGATGCTTTCATGGCATCGAGCCAGCCATTGGAACGGACATCATCTAGTATTCCGGGCTTTTTCCACGGAATTGTTGTGTACTTGCTCGAGGGACATGGTGCTCCATGCTGAGGCAACCAGCTGGAGTGGATGCCATGCCTTGACTTGGTAACAGGAGCAGGATCAGTAAGAACAGGAGAAGCATGATTAGGCTTCATTTCCATTGGATCCAGATTTCTTGCTACGGTGTATATATACTCTAAACCAAAACGAATGCTTTAAACAGTCACTTGGTCAGAATGTTGATCTAGGCGTCTTTAACCTGGCTTTCTTTACCCAACCCTCTTGTCTATAAAGAACCACCGCTTCAGAGTCTTCTTATCGCTGATGCTGTTGGGTGAGCAGTCCATTAAGCGTGGGCTTCCTGCGAACTGGGTAAGGTCGACCAATCACAACTCAATTCAAAGTGAAAAATGCATAGAAAAATGGAGCTACTTCCGAGAGTAATAGATTACCTTCTCATCTCCAAAGCCAAACCACATTTATAGCAAAAGATTAAGCAGCAGCATGGAGGAGTTCGTCAGAAGGATGGAGTGAACTACTTCCAAATCCCGGGAGTGTAAAAATCCGCTCCTTCCCAAAACCACTGTGGGGGCAATAATAATTCAATGAGCAGTTGGTCAAAACTTTAAAAAAATAAGTACACAACAAGGATTTGAGAAAAGAATCCGACATCAAAGTGAAATAATTAGACCAAATGAACAAAGTTTGATTGAAAACTCATGGATGATTTTATAGTAAGTGATTTTTCCACCACTCGTACTATGTTTGAATTATTGCAGCCTCTTAGATCATGATTGCAGTCAATGATCATCTTAACAAGCAAACAAATGTTAACAGATGACTTCAACAATTACATTGACTTGATTAAAACACTAGGAATTCAGTGGCACGCGATATTTATAATCCTCATTAATTTGAAGAACATGATTGTCGTGATTTCGTGATCTGTTTGATAACATATTCCAATTACAATATCTCTAATCAGATAAATGCATATCTTTTTCTATGATCTCCAAGCCAAAAGTGGGAATGTTCATGTTTACTAAGGCTGAATAGATGGGGACCATTTCATACTATATCATACGCGCAATATAAACCATATTTCCTGCTAAAATTACAAGGATAACCTCTTGAGGGTCATTTACAGTTTCACGTATTCGAGATATGAAAGACAGATAGTGATGCAGCCGTCGACAAATAATTTCTTTTTACAAACCAACGCACTTGGCACATGAATAACCTTCCATTATAAAAACAAATACAACATCAAACCACACGTCCTCACTCAGAAGCACATCTTCAACCAACATTAAACAAAGGGAAGCTACAAGCTGTGGGACTCTGCGCGCGTCCTTAGACAAAGGCCAAGTAAACATTGAGCAGCGACATGTCTACTGCAATATGATGGTGGCTTAATAAATTAGAAAAAGGAAAAGAAGGAATTCAAGGCTGCGAAAAGACACCGCAACTACCAAAACAACCACAGAAAACCCAGAAACAAATAATCTTTACAAAAAGAAAAAAGAGCAGCAAAACTATGCCCACATGTTTTTTTTCGAGAAAACATGGATTTGATGAATCAATAACGTCACTTTTAACACAGCACAAGGGTTAATGACAAAAGAAGTTTCTCGGCAAGACATGAAAGATCTAGCAAGACCCCAGTAGAAGAATAATAGGTACCCAAACAATCGATTCGTCGACTTTTACGCACATTGCAGGCTTGCATCGAGAAAGAATCTACACACGTTTCGGGATTTCAACGATCTTCCTCCCATTTTACACCAGCATACTCAACCATATAAAATTAAAAGAAAAGAAACTTCCACCGAAATGTGCTGGACCTATTTTTTTTTATTTTAAAAAGGGGGTAGGGGGGTCTTGGAATCAGACCAAACAAGACGTAGACTTTTCCCCACTTGCAGGTCATGGGACTGGCTCTTTATGCAGGTTACATCGTAAGAAAGCGATTGCGACATGCTCCGAGACATGGACACGACGACTCTCTCCCGGTTCACAGCGACAGAAAGCCCAAAAGAGAAAAACTAGTGACAATAAAAACATTGTCAAATCAGCATCTGTCATATATATATATATAAAAGAAGACATCACATGTGAAACCGAAAAAACAAGTCGTAATTACTGTTCGCAAAAGTCAAATACCACGTCGAGCGACCAAGGCAACAAGCCATGTAAAATCTGATGCCACCGATTCAAGAAAATCCTAAAACCGACAGCTGCACAAAACCCTTTACCCTGATAACCTCCTCTCCAATTCACGCGAGAAAGAGAAAAAAATCCGAAGACAGCCGACGGAGAGACAACCCAAATGACCTCAAAACAAGACCACGAGATCCTCCATTTCCGCACACCAAGAAACGAAAAAAAAAAACAAGCCTAAACTCACGCGGTCCGCATGCATCGTCTCCAAGAACACCAGCGAATTCAGTAACGCAAAAAGCACGGAAAACCCAGCAAAAAAACATCCAAACGGAGAGGCGTTTTTTTTTTTTTTTTTGTGTTAAAGAGGAATTGACGACGAGCAAACGATGGGAGAACAATCTGACCCCAAATGACGGGACCGTGACGTACGTAATCGGGAGCCCAGACCCTCGAAACCGGGAACGACGCCGCGCCAAGTCCACGAGGGTATTCGGTTACCGGCGATTTCGCGCGGGGTTCCAACGAGCGATCGAGCGAGAAGGACGGCCGGAATTGCACCTCCGAGGAGGAGACGGTGGGAATCCGCCGGAAACCCTAGGCGAAGCGCGAGAAGGGCAGAGGAAGACAGAGAGAGAGAGAGAGAGAGAGAGAGAGAGAAGGAAGGAAGGATTCCAAGGGGAGAGGCGGGGGGCATTTATAGAGCGAAGGATTCAGTTGGACGAAGAAGAAGAAGAAGAAGACGTGCTCCACAAGGCAGCGTCCTCCCTCTTTTTTTTTTCTCTCTAAAAGAATTGTTTAATTTACTCTTGCGAAATTAATTAATTAATTAAATATTTTAGGCGTGTACGTGAATTAAATATTTTTTGCGCTTTTTTATTTTTTGGTTAGTTTTTTTATAATTAGAGCGGGTCGCTGTTGGTTTTTATGGGAAGTGCTCGCGGAATGGCCCGTCGAAAATACGTGCAGAGGTGGAAGGGACGCTGACCCACGCTGGAGAACAAATCCGGCGTGGGGCGGGGGGGGGGGGGGGGGGGAGGTGCGGTGACGTGGCCACGTGTCAGCGCGGGCCCCGCCCCGCCACCGGCGCGAGACGACCCAGTGATTGCGCGAATGCCTGCCTGCCGATCCCGTCGCGTTTCCCCGTTTAATTACCATATGGCCCTCCCCCTGCCGCCGTGCGGATTTCGTCAACGGGGGCGTGGGGGGGAAATTACATCGGAGAATTTTTTTTAAAAATTTTAGTTTATTCGCGAGAGATTTACGAAACCGAAAACGGGAGTTTATTTAGGATCCCTCCCGTTGTCATGCTGTCCATATGATTTTGCCTCACATGATACACAACATCGTTGCTTTTACGACAGTCACGAGATTTCCTTCTTTTTTTGCCCTTTTTCGGCAGAGTCTTGGAAGCAAAAAAAAGTTCTTTGCAGGGTTCTTTTCATGTGTCGGGTCTTTCCACCTCTTCGGCTGCTCCGGTACGCCCGATCAAAGCCCTCTTTCGCGGTATTTTCCTCGCGAGCGAGCAGATACCCAGATTGACGAAATTTCTTAACGATTCAAGATGCGCTCCTGATTTTTCGTTTTCTTTAATCCAATCCGAGATTATGATTTGGACAGATCCAAGAATCGAAAAATCTTTTTTTGGGGCACTAATTAAGGTGGTGGCGGAGGGGGGGGGGGGGTCCCCTAATTTTACATCGATTTTGCTTTGTTTCGCATGGAAAGAGAAAGGGAACGGTTAATTATTTGCGGCAAGCAGGAGCCGCTGATTAGGTTGGTTAGCCGTGGCCCAAAAAAGGGTTGGGGATGGTGGGGGTGGGCACGTCACGTGGGAGAATCAGCGCGGTATAAAAAGCGGTTCCTGCTTTTCTTTCTGCGGCTGGAGCCGCACGGATCTCGTGTCCCGTGCCACGTGACCCGCCCATCCGAGCTGGCATCCCGGCCCCCCCCCGGCTCCTCCTTCTTGCGCGGTGTGGTCCTTCCTTCCAGCTGTTTTTAGAAAACTCATTTCTTTCCTTTATACAAAGATTTCTACCATAAATGAAAAAAAACATTACTCGAGCGACTAAACCGTCATTTAATGGCTTATTTCAATTCTAATATACCGAACAAGAATTACAAATAAAAAAAAACGCACGAAAGTCGAGAAGGGGGGACATGTAAGTTTGATTTTGCAATTAACTGTGTATTTGTACGTTAGATTACGACGATTGTGGACGAGCACCAATCCTGTGTGAATTGCCTGATCTCTTCTTTTCACAATCAAAGTGATCGAAACAAGCCCGGCATAATTACTTAATCGGTCGATCTGGTCATCTTAAGAAACCGTGAAATTTTAAACATGACGACATAATGACGTGTTTTTCCTATAAATCCCTGTCATCTGGAAAGCTCGCGAAATGATTGTTCTTTTACCCTTTTTGCGCGGCGGACGATTTGTATCTTGACTAGATCAAAGGGTGGGTGTCATGTGGGCGAGAAAAAAAACAAGCGTTCACAATTTTGGATTCATCTAATACCAAAATAAAGCGCTTCCTAATTTTTCCCCCGCCCCCTTCTAGACGAATCGCGCGGAGGGGGGCTGCTCAGGGTTTGTGGGCCCGATTACTTCCTGCTGAAGGGAAAGTATACGGGGGTGGTCGGTGGGGCCCAGATACGGTTGGTCGCTTTTTTTTTCCCCTCGTTTCTTGCCGTCGCAAGCCACCGGTGTCCGAGGAATCTTCGATTGAATCCCCGAAAAGGTCCGTCTTCATGGAGATTACGTGCCCATGCCCCCTTAGTCGTCGCGAAACTAGTCATCACCCGCCATTCTTAAAAAAAAAAAATTATTTTTTTTTACTAATGACGCGTAAATTAAACGAAAAAGGAAATGTACAATTTAGAAATCGAGCCGTTTCTTATAAAGAATGTCCTCGTCTCAACGGCATTTTGAATTCTCGGGAAAGAGGGGAAGCCTGAGGATGGAGGCCGTGTCCACGATAAATGAGTGCCTCCGAGTATATATTTCAAGAAACAATTCGGTTTCTACTCATATTCGTCAGAGTTCATATGCCATTTTCTTTACTACGTCGTCCCTTTTTGTCCCCTTACTCAAAGAGTCGATGTCTTTTGGCAGATCGTTTACCTTGATGATGCACATTTTTCCTTACTTAGGAAAAATAAATGTTGCGTGAAAATAATTGACAAATGTTCTATTCTCTCGGCTTTCTTAACTTGCTTAATAATTTTTTTTTTCCCTCCTTTCCATCATAAATCATAATATTGTATCGCGTATGACATAATACATGTTCTAAATGTCGGTGCCGAACATTGAGATAGAGTTTATATAAAGCAAAAAAAAAAAGCGTCCTGCATATGTAAACCATAGTGTGGCAACTCGAAGCACCAATGGGGAAGACAATCAAGAATCGAAGCATTATAGCACAACAATATCATTTTATAATTGGATGATAATCAGTAGATCTTTCACATCTTCCTTGATTCTCCCCATATCTTGAGATTGTGCATATCCTTGATTGATTCTTGTAATTGATATTGTAATACATGTCGCTTTACATGGTCATTTGCGAAGGTTATAAATAGGCCCACAAACTCTTAATTACACAACTCCGAAAGATACGGAGAATCGAGAAAGGTATGATGAACTACCTTCCAATTATCTATTAACATTCTCCAATTCACAATTTTATCATACTTATGTTGGTGGGGCGACGTGCACGGAGCAAAAGAACAGCGCTCGATTCGACTTAACGTTCTGACTTACACACGATTCATCTATAGATGATTCGATACATTGTTGTCGATTGACATGGTGTCGGCAACAACTACAAAATTTCGATACGTTGGTTGATAGGGATTTTTCATAAAAGCAGTCACGATATCGCGTCATCAAAATCAAGGCAGCCAACTATAGTTCCCTGCTGACCCCCACCCAAAAAAAAAACTATAGTTCCCTGATATATTTTATTTTGTTCATTTCTTTTTAAATAATTGAGAGGCGCGGACATGCAAACCCGACAATCGGAAAACCCACGAAACACCCTGCAAGTCTCGTGAACTGGTCAAGCCTGGACCTTTGGCCCATGCACGGATTCCGTGCACATAGCGCTAATTCGAAGCAGTTCGCATGCAGGATTCGAACGAATGATCTCTAGTTACAGAACTGGATGTCCTCCAATGCCTCAACCTATTGCGCACGTGAATTTCTGAAAGAAAAAACAGTACTTATTGCTTTTTCACTGTATCTACGATATGAATTATTTCGAGTGTTCAATACTATTAAAATATTTAAATACTGTATGAATTCATATTTCAAGTACTATAGATAAGAAAAAGGCAACAATTAAAATGCAAATATCACACGAAACACACCTAAATATCGTTGACAACAAGGCAACATTGTACAATTAAATCGAATCAAGCTCGTACAAGGAAGGAGGTTGGTGGTTTAGTTGAAATACCACGGGCCAAAAATATTCTCTGTCTCCCATACACTTTTCTCCTCTTGTTGGATCTAGCGACCCATCAAATTAGGACACCTACCCGTCGTTGCTCTCGTAAACTCTTTTCCCGAACCATGAATGCTTCGAGCAAAAGCGAGTCGAATTCGATGGTCTAAACACTTCAACTCTGCCAATTTCATATCGTCGGTTTTCAAAGTGTTTTTTCAAACGCACTTCAACTATACCGATTAAAATGCAAAGATCACATGAAAAACACCTAAATATCGTTTACAACAAGTCAATATTGTAATGTTAAATCAAATCAAGCTCGTACAAGGAGTGAGGTTGGTGGTGAAATTGAAATACCAGGGGCCGAAGACATTCTCTATCTCCCATACACTTTTCACCTCTTGTTGGATCTAGCGACCCATCAATTTAGGACACCTACCCGTCGTTGCTCTCGTAAACTCTTGCCTGAACCATGAATGATTCAAGCATAAGCGAATTGAGTTCTAACTGTTACGTTTGAACACTTTAACTTTGCCAATTTCATATTTGTCAGTTTTCAAAGCGTTTTTTCAAAGTAGGGAGGGACTGGTGTGAAGATGGTCCTCTAATTCTACGCACTTTGTCGCAGCGAATTTCTTTTCCGTCAACTCTATTCCTTTTCACACGCGACGTTGTACGCTCTAAGGAAATACGATGGGAGAAACGCACGAAGACAAGTTGAATTGTCCGTAAGAAATAATTGACGTTGACAATCGTACCGATGTTGTTGTCTTCACCGGTGGAAAGTAAGCCTCGAGGCCCTACACTCCCACATGTGAACCCAATGCACAGAGAAGCTAGCTAGTGTGTTCTTTTGGCTGAAAGATAGAGACCATACCGAATGTACATCAAGCGCAATAGCAGTTGGATCAGCTAAGTGAACCTTATCGAGCAATTATACACTAAAGATTTAAATTATCAACCCTCAATTATGGTGCCTTTTTTCCGTCAAAATCAAGCTCGAATTCGAGTTCTGAAGTAAGACTTATTGACCCACTAAGTCGAGCCGAGTCGGGGTCGAGCTTCGTGAAAGCAATTTCGACTTGAATTCGAACTCCGAAA